GAGAAATTATTTTTAATATTCAAAGTTGGGCACATAAAAATATAAGTGATCTAAAATCCATTTTAGCTGGTCTATAAATTATTTTATACAATTATTTAGCCAAGAAATAATTATGAAAATAATTTCTGCGAGTGCAAGATAAAGGTAAGAGGGCCAATACAAAAACAGAGCCTTTCGTGGCCTTATAAATAGCCATGCTAACTGACTGACTGACGCGCTTCATTAATATGCAAAGTGGCTCAGCCGAAGCAGCCCCCTTTTTTGCCATCCAGTAACCCACCTGTAAGAGGCATTAAAAGTATCAACGTTTAAACGGTTATTACCAGCATTTTCATGCTGCATTTGCACTGGCCGAAACGGGAGGAAAACATGGCCAACAACAGGTTGTTCTGAACCCCCTTTTCTGTAGTTCCCCAAACGACAGCAATTGCGTGTCAAATTGAACTTGACTGGCGAACCAAGTGGGGGAATCGAGAGAGGTATATCACAAGTTAGGAGGGGGGTGGGGACGATACTTGTTTGGGGAAAGGTGGCCAGAATAAATGGGTTGTTGACGTTGTTCAAGTCGCCTTTTTCGAATATTTACATACATATGTTCTGCATATTTATCAAGACCTCAGCGGAAACGTAATTATGCAATGGCTTTCTTGGTTACGGGGGAAATCTACACGGTTTCTTTTAATTAAAATAATTATTTAAGCTATATTGGTCTTAATTAAGAAATAGTTACCTGCTTGTTACTTATAATGCTGTTATTATTTATATATTTTACTTTGACCTATGATGTATTTAACTGTCCATTTCGCAGTTACAATTGAACCCTCTACTAATTCCCTTAAAGGTCATTTTCAACTATCCCATTTGAAACTCATCCTGTAATGATCGTTTTACTGCCCAGAATCCCTGCCCTACAACTCACCTCAGTAGCCTTTTTACCTCCTCTACTCTCTTTTCCTTTTCCTTCAAAACCTGACTGCAATTTGGGTCTACTTAGACCCTTAATCTCAATTTAAAATTTAAAGGGATTCTGGGAAAATCTTTTCCACTGACCGCACACACACAGCTGCTCCCTCAAATTTTCTAATAAATATTCCTTATCCTTGGCTACACTTTCACTTCAACTTTCTTTTCTGCGATCAAGCAGCCATAAATTTCCCTAAGCTGTCAGCAAATAAAGTGAAAAACGAGTTCTGCCAAGAAAATTGTCCAAGAAATTGTGTAATTTTTAACCCAAAAAAAAAAAGCGATGAACGATTAAAAATATGTAAATCAGCCAAGGAACCCGATTCAACCAATAAAACTTTTTCCAAAGGCGCCGGAGGAAACTTTTCCGGCAAATTTGTGGCTAATTTATGAGACCAGCTCTCAGGTAAGAGGAAGCAGAAGAAATGGGAGATGAGCCGAGTTCCGAAAGGTCTGGCTGTACCAGGATAAGAAAAAGGATATCATCTTTGCAGGACTTCGAGTGTCTGGAACGTGTTGCATTTATGAGGTTGAGCGAAAGAGGAAACGGGTTTCTTTTTATGTGAGCCCCGCACAACCCCCTTTATTGGGATTTTCTCTTTCCCCTCGCAGACAAAAGGAAACTGGGCAGAGGCAAGTTTTCCACCCGGCAGCGGAAATGAGAAAAACTTGTGCGCGAATCCTTTTCGCTTGCATCTCGGCGGCTGTCTTGGAACTAATTTTAATGACAATTCACGAGGCGCGGAAGTCGCGACATTCGGGATAATGTGAAAATGGGCAGAGGCCAGGCGAAGAAAAAAGAAAGGGGGGAGTGGCCATCCCTGAAAATGCAGATTTTTCCATTTCCCATTCTTAACACCCCTCTTCACCGCTCATTTCCGTGGCTATTTTCTCAGCGGTTACTTTGCAATGTTTGGCAGCCATTAATCATAAATTCGTGAAGGAGTCTATAGAGGAAAATCAGAAATTTAAACATTCACCATACCACACCAAAATTATAAAATTAAGTAAAAGTTCTACTAATTTGATACACACATTGCACAAATTAAATGGTAATTTATTGCCTTTTTCACTCGGTTTTTAAACCAATTTCCAGTACATTTTGGGATCGTATTAATTACAGGGTGCTGCCCCTTTTTCTCCCCTGACCAGTACAACGACCCCTTAGAGGACCTAACTTTGACTTTTTGGTGCCATGCGAGTATCCTTTGACATGTCGCCTGTCCGCTTATCGGAGCGAGTGCATCGCCCCGGCCATTTCCCCGCTTTTCTCCAACTGCGATGCTATCTGTGAGTGCTCTAGTTTCCAGTTTGCCTGACCCATTATTAGCTGTGAAATGTGAAATGCATGAATGTCCCTGTGTGTTTGTGTGTGTACTTTTGTCCTTTGGGACTTGATTTCCTTGACGTTGGACAGGACGTTTCCTGTAATTTCTCACTGGGAAATATGGCTCATGAGAAGGGAGCAAATATCTTTGGAAAAACGTTTCAAATTAGCGCCCGGGGGAATGGCCAAAAAACAATGTTAAAAAAAGAACTTGACTTGCCACAGAATGACATTTCCCACTGCGGACTGCAAGGTGTTCGCCTCCATTCTCTTCCTGAGTTTCCATCTGGATTTGTTTTCCCATTCCAGCTCACCCAAGTGTTATTCCCACGTAGCAGCCACTCTTTGGGAATATATTAACCCAAAACTTTGGTGGAAATAACTTTATATACTGGGCTTCAGGCTTAAATAACCCTTTCTTCTTGGATTTTTGAAGCCATCTATCTTTAAGCTGTCAACACCGCCTGGCTTTGTTCTCTTCTTCTCTAGGTCTCGTCGTTGTAATTGTTTTTCTTTACTAAAAAACACCCAAAACCCCTCCCCTCGCCTTTTTTCCACATTTTGCGGCTAAACTTTAAACACGCGCAATGCGCTGCGCATGCTAAATGAGAGTAAAGAACCTGAAAGTGGGGGGTTTCGGTGGGTGGTGCCCATAAATTTGCATTTAATGAACATTTCCGAAAAGCCCTAGAAGATGCCGCCCCTCCAGAATTAACGCTTTTTGTTTGCCTGTAATGGGTTTTAATTATGTGGGTGGTTGCATATAATGAGGTGGCTAAATGAAAAGGTTTTTCAGCGCAGGCGTAACCGCAGCACAGGAAACGTCTGTTTGGTGGGTGTTTTTTTTTTGCTAAAAGAGAACCTCCATCTGCATCAGATTTCATTATAACTGTAGGTTAAAACCCTGTTCGCATCACATCATCACTGGTCCATTGTTGGGCCATTTTTGCAGTTGACTTCTGCATTCCGCATCCTCGGTTTCACCCACCCTCCCAACCTTCTCTCTCTTCAGTTAGCGATTTGATTTCATTGCCATTCGTCGAACAATTCATGTGAAAAATTGTCATAAAAATGCTATAAAATTGTTTTCGTCCCGTAATTTAAACAAGCAATCATGAAAATAGTTGTAAAATCAGTGAATGCATGTTGCACAGCTTGTAAAGAATGTGGAAATATGAGGAAAAACAAAACGTTTGATTTATGAAATAGAAGCCAATGAAAAGCCATTGATGCAGTGGATTTTATTGGCTTGAAAAATGGGTTAAGTTTGGTGGGAAACTGGATGAAGGTTAAGAGAGTTTAGCGGTGGAAATAAAATTGTATAAAAAAGTTTTTCAATTAAATTTAAATGTAAGGGAATATTGTCTCTCTACCGAGAAATTTTAAAATGTATTAAATACATTACAAAGCCCAGACTTGATAGCTTTTCATTCCACGAAATCAGCATCTGTTGTTGGACTCATCCCATTCCTCGAAAAATCTCCAATTACCCCGAAATTCCACTTTCACCGCCACTTTACGCGCAACGCACTTCAAACGTATCAAAACTATCAACACGTCGAAAGATTCGGAGAAGTCGAGCTCTCCTTCTCCATCTCCGTCTTCAATCAGGCTCATCACAGTCGTGTTTTTGATATCCTTTTCCCATAACTGTCATCATTTCATATGCGAGCTCCATTTGCTGGGCAAAGGGAATGGGTAGGTGTTAATTTACGAGTGACGAGAGGCAGCAGCGAGCTCCTCCTGTTAAAAATAAACAGAGAGAGAGAGTCCAATCTCAGCTATTTCCGAAAATGGGAATGTGGAGCAGAGGAGCAGCTGCAATAGCAACAGCAACAGCGACGTCGTCAAAGGACATTGCACAACAACAGAGTAAACATCCTCTTTTAAGTTTTATGTGTTATGTGTTCATTTCCAGGCGTTCGTCGTTTGTATGTCAACATAAACTTCTCAAAAAAGCAAGAGCGAGCTGAACACAAAAAAAAGTATGCGCTAGTGACAATAAACCCGAGAAAAATATGAACTCGCAACTGAATGCAGGAATATGTTCAAGTGGCCACTCATAATTCTGTGCGAGTGCGTGAGAGCAGCTCGAAAAGCAGTTCGAAGAGCCAAAGAAAAGGCTTCAGGATGTGTAGAGAGTTCTTGACTTTCAGACGAGGGGTTCTAAGAAAGAAAAGCTGGCAGAGGAGTGGGAAATGCAAAAAATGGTGTTATAGTTAGTGAAAGTTATTTGAAGGATGCAGAATCTTTTAATGTCAACTATACAGAAATTTAAATAAATGTACCGTGTAATTCCCTTGAATATTTATAATTCTCTCAATACTGACTTTTAGTTATAAGTCAATTTTCATTCATCCTCTAAACGTTCTGCTTACGAAACCATCGATAGTTCGTTTGAGAATACCTCGATGGGCTCTTGAAGTCAGGAAGTCTTGAGCACTGTAGTGGCACTTTTGATCGTGTTCCTGTTCCCATAAATTGGCGGGCAGGCGAAAACCTTAAATTCTTAACCCTTGGTTAACCCCTGTGTGGCACTCGAGTGCTTTTTTGTGCCCAGTGAATCGAACGAAGGAGGTCGCCGTCTCCTGTCTTCGATGCATGAAGAGATTGCATGTTCGCGAATCTGAAGCTCAGCTGTGCCAACTTAGGTTGCTACTCTTTGCGTGCCGTGTTATTAACCCGTTTCCTGTCTTTTCATTCATTGCAGACGTCAGCATGCCTTTATGGCCAACACACAGAAGCAGCAGCCGCCGGGCGGAGGAAGTGGCAGCGGCAGCGTCACCCACAGTCCGGAACGCCTGCGCGGAGCGACCGCCACCCAGGATCTCTTTGAGCTTCTCGAGCGTGTGCAGTGCTCGCGACTCGACGACCAGCGCTGCGTCCTGCCCGCTTACTTCTCTCAGGTGGGTACACGTGGTCATCCAAGGGGAACGCCTATCACTCGGCAGGTTTCTTGGGAGATTTTTCAAGGGGATACGAGAATTTACTCAAGTTAAAATAGTAATAAAACAAGGAACAATCGTCAACAAGTTAAATTGGGTGTTGTTATTTATTTAAAGTCATAAAGTTAGGAACACCTTCCTATATACCCTGCTCGATAGATAACTTAGGAAGTTTCTAAACTAAATTCAACTTTGAAAAGAAAAAAAGCCATAAAATATAGAACAATCGCCAATAAGTGAAAGTTAAACTCGTTTGTTGTTAATTCCTTAAAGTCATAAAGTTAAGAATCCCCTGCTTCATAGATAGGCCACCTCCTGACCTACGACAATGGGTCATCGGCCCATTTGGTTTCGCCTTGTCCCCGGGCATATGCTCCACTAATCTAAGTGTGTGTGATGAACTGACCCATAAAAGTCCAACTTGCAGTTGCAATGTACCTCATTTCCCCTTACCCTAACTCCGAGTAGTAAAAATTTCATTTTACTGCTGCCAAGCCATAAAAATTGCCAATGGGACAATGAATGGGGGAATGGCATAAAGGCCAGCGAAATGGTGGGCGAACCTAGATCGAAACAAAGAGCCACCAAACTAACAATGCCTCATATGAGGAGTCCAACTATTCCACCATCCCCTCAAGGAAAAAGAAACCCCCCAACGACGACATTACCTTTCCAAAACATCTGTATAATTTGACATAATCTGCGCTTTGTTGTGGTTCTTTTGGGTTTTTTCGGGTTCCGTCTCCTGGTTTAATAGGCAAATTGTTCGGCAGTCATGGGTTAATTCTTACGGGTGCGGGTGTGTGCTGCCAGGGATTAAGTGGTTGGTTGGGCTGGTTTGATGTCGCATTTTACGATTCAGCTGCGGTCTTTGAAGTTTTTGGCAGCTGTCAGGTGTGGCTCCTCCACTTTATTGCCAAATTTATTGGCTGAATTTTAAAGAATAGATCGTTAAGGTGTATTGAATTTTCCTTAAAATAGGTTCGGTCAGTTAAGGACACTTTTTTTTTCAAAAATGCCACAGAAATCCCAACAAGAATGTTTAAAGTCTCCAAATGCAATCATTTTATACCATACCTTTCCATACTCTTCTGTAACTGTACTTTTACATTAACCCAATACAATAAATGTACATTTTTCCGGTTTAAAATGCCGGTATTTATCGATTCCGGCTTATTTTCCGGTCATTTCCGATTTCCGGCTTCTGGGGGTGAAAAAAAGGGCGACTCGTGCTGCTAAGCAATTTTAAAACACAGGGGTCCTGCTAAATAATTTTAAAAGACAGGGTGATTTGGGCAGCTAAAAATTGAAAACACAGGCTGACGCAATTTTACATACTTTTCTACATTTTTTGTCGCAGTGGCGCCACGTAGCGATTGTTTTTCAAACTACAAAGTTCGTCTTACTGACGCTAGAGGGCCATTTACTAGCGCCACCTAGCGGTGAACCAAGGATGGCTGTAGCGCCCTGGTGTGGTTGTAATTGGAACCAACATTTATGTAGTACACCATTCAGCCGCTAGGAAGAAACATTTTTATACCCTTGCAGAGGGTATTATGATTTCAGTCAGAAGTTTGCAACGCAGTGAAGGAGACGTTTCCGACCCCATAAAGTATATATATTTTTGATCAGCATCACTAGACGAGTCGATCTAGCCATGTCCGTCTGTCCGTCCGTCTGTCCGTCTGTCCGTCCGTTTCTACGCAAACTAGTCTCTCAGTTTTGAAGCTATCGCGATGAAACTTTCCCAAAAGTCTTCTTTCTATTGCAGGTAGTATATAAGTCGGAACCAACCGGATCGGATAACTATATCTTATAGCTCCCATAGGAAGGAAACGTTAAAAAAATTCTAGCTTCGGTGTTTTTTGAAATAAAACCTTATACTCTTGGAAATATTATTTTTTAAATATTTCAGAATTTCGAATAAAATATTTTAAAAATCGGACGACTATATCATATAGCTACAATAGGAACGATCAGAAAATTAATGGGAAAGTTACACAGAAATAAATTTTAGCTTTTTTGGTTTTTATTGTATTCTTTTCTACTTTAGGACATGACTCTTTTTAAATATTTCCGAATTTCAATTTTCATTTTATTAAAATCGGACGACTATATCATATAGCTGCCATAGGAACGATCGAAAAATTAATGGGAAATTAATTGGAAACAAATTATAGCTCCGTTGGTTTTTATTGTATTATCTTATACTCTAGGATATGATTTTTTTTTAATATTTCAGAGTTTTGAATTAAATTTAACAAAAATCGGACGACGAAATTTAAAATTTTTGCGATTTGTAAGTTAATAGGAACGATCCATGCGCGGATCCACGGGGGGTGATATGGGTGATATATCACCCCCACTCGCGTGAAAAATTAAAGAAATTTTGGTATTCAAAAAGTATGCAACAAAAAAATTGTTCTAATATCACCCCCCACAAAAAAATCCTGGATCCGCCACTGGAACGATCTGCAAGGGTATATAAGCTTCGGCTGGCCGAAGCTAGCTTTCTTTCTTGTTAATGTAGATGTTATGAATAATAAAAATTATTATTAAGATAATTATTATTTATTGTTATTATTAGATAAAGAGAGAGATTGGTGGATGAAATTAAGTTTATAAATGTTTATTATAAAATTTATAATAAAATTTAAAAACAGAAGAAATTAATAAATTAATAATACATACTGTAAAAAAAAAGGCATTTGCATTCAAAACACTTATTTCTAAAATTAAAATTAAGTGAATTTTATATGAAACATGCACTTAAATCATCCCTGAATAAGCAAAAAATTCCCCTGAAATCCATCCAAGCAAAACAAAAACATCGAATTCTTAAACTTTAATCATTCCCCTGAATCAGCACCACATTTTATTTATGCGCTTTAAAACTTGGCCGCTCTAAGAACTCCCACTGCAAAGTTCCGTTTAATTTGTTGTCGAATTTCTAGAGCATAATCCACTTGGCCTTCCTTTCTAAGAGTTATATCGCTTCCTGTTTGGCCCTTTCTCAATCTTTCTATGTTTTTTTTGCGACCCACCCATTTGCCTGGCATGCAAGTTCCAAAGCCCTTTCAGATTTTAATTTAGTTTTCGCAACAATTTCGGAGGCAAACTTTTCTATATCAAAAGGCACAGTGCAGCAAAGTGCAATCCGCAGCCCGCATCCCTCATCTCCTCGAAAGCCTATGCCATATTTTCTCAAGATGCAGCCTTCTCATCCACATTCGAGTGCCTTTTATGCAGGCTTTCCTTGGGTAAAAGTAAAATAAAGGGGAAAAAAACCAGGGGGAGTCTGGCAGAAAGTCTCGTCTAGCATCTTGAGGCAAAACTGGGTTGACTCTCAGACTGTGCATGAAAATTATGTTTGCTCAAGTTGGGAAAATTGAATTTGGTTGCAGGCCAGTGGCTGTCAAACTGTGACATTTGGCCACGTGCCGAGGAAGAGCATTTTCCTCCGGAGTTTTCCACACTCTGGATGCCGTTGTGTACGGTTTCCCTGCTTCCATTCCCCAACACTTTTCCTCTATTTTACTATTTAATTCCCTGCGTATCTATGCTCCCTATTGCATAGTTCCTTGCACGTTTTTTCCCATTGCAAAGGCTAATAAAGGTTTGCTTGGCCATGTTTAAATTCCGTCGAGCACCTTTTACCACCCCCTTACCACCTCATAGCATTCCCTATCCTCAGCGGCTAATTAAGCTGCCCAAATAGCAGTTGTTTTGGGTTGGCACTTTCCTACACAGAAAATATTGAAAGGGCAAGATATTGTTATCAAACATTTTAGAATTTAACATTGTACTTTATGAATGCCAAAAATAAAATGTCGTGATATATTCTATGGCACATACATATATTCTTACTAATATCTTTAAGACATGCTGTTTTTATACCCTTGTAGAGGGTATTATAATTTCAGTCAGATGTTTGCATTGCAGTGAAGGAGACGTTTCCGACCACATAAAGTATATATATTCTTGATCAGCACCAATAGCCGAGTCTATCTAGCCATGTCCGTCTGTCCGTCTGTCCGTCTGTCCGTTTCTATGCGAACTAGTCCCTCAGTTTTAAAGCTATCGCGATGAAACTTTCCCAAAAGTCTTCTTTCTATTGCAGGTAGTACATATGTCGGAGCGAGCCGGATCGGACCACTATATCTTAAGGCTTCCATAGGAATATTCAAACAAATATAAGAAAATTCATTGTAACTTTGTAAGAAGTAGGCGTTTTGATTCTTGACTACTTATGTATAAACAAAATTAAAATATAAACCCTGAATCTGGAATCCCTGGAACTGCACCGAGTAAGCATTACTTTATCTACAAGGGTATATAAGCTTCGGCTGGCCGAAGGTAGCTTCCTTTCTTGTTTTTTTAAATGAGTCACTATTTTATTATCAGCAAACATTTCGTGACGAATTGTAAATTTCGAAAACAAAATTTGTTTTGAAAGAAAAATAAAACTTTATTTTCTGGATAAAAAAATAGTTATTCATACAGTTCAAAAGATTGGAAGTTTTCAAGGTTGCTCTTGTAAAGAGAAATCATTCATATTTTTTGGTGCACCATTTTTTGCCAGCTTTTTGTAAGCGGCTTTGTCCACCTTTTCCTGCATTCCCACGAAGCCGGAAATCTAGGGCCCTTTGTTTTATGGAGGAGAACCCTCCGCCATCTAAGATTCGCTGGAAATTTATGCCCGACTCCCGACTCCCTTCCTTTCCCATTATAAAAATATACTTTGGCCATTTCATTTCGGTTGCTTTGGACTTTTTCTTGCATATTTTTCACGGACTGTGGCTTCGGTTTTTTCTGCCCCACTCCCCTTGTTTTTAGCCGCACACACATTAGAAGTCTCTTATGTCTTTGTCTCAGTTTGTGGTGCTCGCCGAGTGCAATTTGTCTGCCCGCCTCTTCTCACTCCTGCACTTCCCGTCTCATTACCCCTCCGATTCCCCGATTCTCCAATTCTTCTCTCACAGTTGAGCAGTCACTGGCGAACGCTTTGGACTTGACTCCCAGCAAATGCAACGAACGTTGAAGTTGTTAATTGC